GCGACGCCAACCAACAAATTGCGTAACGATCTGTCACAACGTCGAAACTCTGTCCGTACAAGTAAGGACGAAACTTGCTTAAAGCCCAAACGATTGCGAGGCATTCTTTTTTACTTACTGAGTAGTTCATTTCCACTTTCGTCAGTGCGCTGGCTTGCATATGCGACGACGTATTCGGGAATACCGAGCTTTTGTTGCGCGAGTACTGCTCCCAGACCAACGCCACTGGCATCTGTGTGCACTTCCGTGGGAGCACTTGGGTCGCAATGGCGTAGAATGGGTGGGGACGTAAGCACGCGGCGCATTGTAAGGAAGGCTTCGTCAGATGCCGGGGTCCAGTTAGAAAGATTAGCTGGACCGTTCAGTAGTTGCGTAAGTGGGGCTATTATTGATGCAAAGTTGTGGACGAAACGGCGAAAATACGAGCACAAGCCGTTGAAGCTCCTAAGTTCTTTGAGTGAAGTCAGCTTCGGAACGTCGGCTACGGCTCGAAGTTTGTCTGGGTCAGGGCAAATTCCATCCTTTGACACAACGTGACCAAGTATAGTAAATTGGCGAGCCCCAAGGCGACACTTCTTTAGGTTAAGCTGGAGGTTTGCCTTAGTAAGACACTGAAGAATTGTGCGCAGAAGGTCGACGTGGGTAGGGAAATCAGGAGAAAATATGACAACATCATTAAGGTAACATAAGCAAATCTGCCATTTAAGGCCACGTAAAATGCTGTCCATCATTCGTTCAAACGTTGCAGGTGCATTGCACAGACCGGATGGCATAACCATGAATTCTTATAGGCCGTCCGGCGTAACGAACGCTGTTTTGGGACGGTCACACTCTGCCATCGGAACCTGCCAGTAACGTGAACGTAAGCCCAGCAAAGGAAATAATTCGGCACCTTGTAGGCAATCGATAGCGTCGTCGATGTGGGGAATAGAGTATACACCGTTCCGTGTAATTTTGTTCAATCGCCGGTAGTCGACGCAAGATCTAATCTAACTGTCTTTTTTCTTCACTAGCACAACAGGTGAAGACCAGGGGCTAGAAGATGGTTTGATTACACCGCGTTGAAGCATATCGTCCACCTGCTCTGCAATTAGACTTCGTTCCTTGGGTGATACGCGGTAGGGGCGTTGCCGCAAAGGAGGGTGCGTTCCAGTGTAAATTGTGTGAGTGATGGTGTTAGTTCGACTCAATGCCTTTTGAGGAGGGTCAAATGAATCTCGGAATTCATGTAGAAGAGCTATTAGCTGGTCCCGTTGATCCGGAGGAAGCTTGGTGTCGATGGAACGATTGAAGATATTTAGGAGTAGTCATCCCACGTAAAAGAGGAGTAACATCGTTCAGTTGAAGTTGCTGGCCAGGGTCGCGGGACTCAATAGGCACAATAACGGTGTCATCAACAGGATGAACATAGCCCAGTGTTTCGTGAGCTCTTAAGGTGAGAGGGCATGAGCTAGGATTGCAAACGACAATTCCGGAAGTACCTTGGTGAGGTGGCAGAACGCCGTACGGCAGAGACGTACCGTGGCGGTGACTGAAAACGTTCGATGGGGAGAAAACAACGGTAGAGCCGGACAATTCAGTGCGATTGACGGGGACAACGATGGCACTAAGAGGAGGAACATCAACGTCGGAAGCAACAAGAAGCTTGCCAAGGTGAGTGCGCTCATTTTCGGTAGATGGCGCATCTGAAAACACAGAAAATTGCACCTGCATGCGAGCGCAGTCAGTTACGGCGTGGTGGTGCGACAAAAACTCCCATCCAATTATCACGTCGTGGGAACAAGTGGCCAACACGAGAAACTCGATGTGGTACAGGACGTCCTGAATGATTATTCTCGCCGTACATGCTCCGACTGGTCGAATTGGTTTCGCACTCGCGGTATTCAGCAAAACTTCGGAAGGCGGCGTCGTTACTTTTCGTATCGAATGGCAGAGTTTTTGACTAATCATAGATACGGCGGCACCCGTGTCACCAAGCGCAAGAGTTCGAAGGCAGCGCTTCAGAGTTTGCAGTCTGCCATGCGTAGGAGGAGTCATGACCAATTGGTACAAGAAATAAGACATTGCCATCATGAAGCTCTAGCACGAGGGCATGATATTATATATCAATGGCTGCCTGGACATATCGTTATTACCGGAAATCAATTAGCCGATGATGCAGCCCGCTCCGCCCATGAAGAAACCCGTGTAGTCCCGATTCCTCTATCAAGGAATGATGCAGCAAGACAACCTTACCTGCTGGCTCGAGATCTCACACGCACGTTCTGGTCGTCTACCAGCTTCCAAAGGTGCCAATTTTATGAACTGGATCCTTCGCTCAAGCTAAAGCTACCAACACAACTTTCCCGCTCCGATGCGACACTGTTATGCCGCCTTTGGTTGGGTGTTGCATTTACAAAGGTGTACTCCTTTCTAATTGGTATGGCAGACACTCCTACATGCGACTACTGCGGAGCTGAAGAGACCATCAAACACGTCCTGTGCAGCAGCGCAAGAGTTCTTCGACCTTCAACAAACACTTCCAGGACGTTTGTGGGGGACGGCGAGGACTGTACATTGCGACGATTTCGCAGCTCGTGCCTCCGGAGCTGCGGCAGTCAGTTTTCCGTCTCTACGGGGTTCGGTCGGCGACGCAGCGGGGACGGAGAACGGTAGCGGCGTGGTGAGGATGAGCGACGGAGACCGAATGGTCGGTAGTCGCCAGCAGATTGGTGGTCTAGTTAGTATGCGGACGGGTCGCGCGTCACTGATTGTCGGTCACATTGACGTGGCAGTTCTCGTTGCGCGTTGCACGGGGCCGGTAAAGAGTAGCCAGAGTACCTCGTAGCTGCAGCCGGGCCCGTTGCGAAGCGCCAGCGACAGAAGCACGCCACGTGACCTGGATATCCGCATGCGTAACAGATCGGGCAATTGTCAACTGTGCACCAAGGGTATTCATTATAGCGCTGTTGTTTTGCTGGAAATGGCGTCGTTGATACTCGTACAAGCTGGGGAGCCGGCCCAAGCGGAGGTCGTGGCGGAGTAGCAGCAACAGCAGCGTAAGTCAATGATGTGGTGACGGGTGCGTTCTGAGAGACGGATGGCTGTGCCTCAGAGACCTGCGCCTGTATTACCTGCCTGATGGCGGGCGCGATACGCTCAGAAGAGGGTTCCGTTGCTGGTAGATACGACAGGCACGAAAGTTGTCGGGCACCTCCTCGCGCACATATCGTTGATTTCCGACATGATTGTGCTGTGGTCTCCACCCATGGTCAATGCCGCGAGAGTTTCATCGGTAGCCGCTGGCCGCCGTGTCATGACCCGTTGTTTGCGCAAATCCTCGAAGCTCTGGCAAAGAGTGGTGAGTTCGGACACCGTACGTGGGCCCTTGGCCAGCAGCATATGGATGGCGTCGTTGTCTATCCCTTTCAAGATGTGTTTGACCTTGTCTGCTCCGATTATTGAAGTGTCAAGGCGCTTGCACAAGTCGAGCACATCCTCGATGTAGCTTGTGAAGCCTTCTCCCTGAAGCTGTGCGCGTCCCCGTAGACGCTGTTCGGCACGGAGCTTGCGTACCTCGGGGCGACCGAATACATCGGTAATGCGTATCTTAAAAGCACCCCAAGTGGTGAATTCCGAGCGGTGGTTCTTAAACCAGAAGCTCGCTACCACTTTCAGGTAGAAGGGTACATATTGCAGCTTCGAAGGGTCGTCCCACTTGTTGCTTGCGCCTACCTTTTCAAATGTCGACAGCCAATCTTCTACGTCTTGCTGATCGGTACCATCGAAAAAAGGTGGATCGCGCATGCGTAGCGCAGTGGACACGATGATTATCGGAGGTTGGGTCGTACCTTGCTGGGTGTTTTCTTCAGCCATTTCTGGGATGGCAGGTAGTTTCCTGTTGCGGAGTTCCAGGTTGAGTTACCCAGCACCTCCACCACTCTGAAACGGGTTTTATTGGTGTAAGTAGTACTTCCACAGCCGGTATATTGATGCGGAAAGCGGGCGGCAACAACCGACGCAGGAATCACAGCACTCGGGAGAACAGCTCGCGCTCGGCTCCTCTCGCTAAAGGCGTTACCCACTGCGGCCCTAATCTTCCTCCTCTCTAGACACTCAGTATTGGCATACAAGTATACATCTTCCCGCATCGTGCCTGGGTTGTATGCATTGTAGTTCAAACGAAGATATAAAATGGAGTGCAGCGGAGATCCTTGGGAGCACACGAGTTCATTTTATAAGCGTATTACTTACAGCGTCCTTGTTTCGATGTCTTTACTATGCACTGCGAGATGAAGGCTCGGCTATGTGCCAGCCAACCAGTAACGAGTAAATTGAGTGCAAGTTGAGGGTCGAAGATGCCTCTGCTCTCAAAATAAGAGCATATGGTGGCAAGCTGGATGCGCTGAATGATTAAACATTTCTAAGAAGCTGACTTGCATCTGTTCGTGAATCTGGTGATGCCAATCAGAATTACATAACAGAGACAAAATGATAAGCATGCAATATCATCATGCCGCATTTTTTACGTCTGCCTTTAAACATCAATGAATTCATGAATGAATGAATAAAGTTTTTTTAAAGTCCAGCAGTTTTCACCGGGCGAAGTGGGGGAAAAGGGGATTAACCCCTGTCCCTTCCCACCCTCCATCGATCATGATGGAGGTGCCTCAGGTGACCACTCCGACGAGCTGGCCGACCCTTATGTATAATAATCTTTTATTCAAAAATACTCGCACAGGCTTGCTTTGTGTATAAAGTCAAATTATGAGCGGTGATGAGGCCGACCAATTCAATGATCAAAGTCGGGTTATTGGTAAGGCCTGTTGCATGGAGGGGACGACGATGGCGGCATCATTGACTTTCAAAGCCAAGCTCATAATCGGCCAGACTGATTAACTCCATTTTCGTATGCAATTTTTCTTAGAGAATTCGTCTGTAGAGACATCTGTCAAGGAGTGACAAGGACTGCTAGAAAAAAAAGCAAAACTCTTTCTGAACGACTAGATATCATTATGCAGGTTGCTCACGTTTCCGTCAGACTTCACCGTCGTAGTGGGAGAGGAAGACATCACCAAGAAGGACGACACCGATGAAGCCATCCAAGTGCGAAAGGTACGCAGTGTACAGCGTGCTAAATTCACGCCTAGAATTTGTACAGCATTTCTATACTACTACATGAAAAGCATGAGAGAAAATATAAGGGTTAACATGAAAACAAGAGGAGAGCACACTTTATCCGCATATATGTCAGTTATGCAACAAGCGAAACAATTTTAGAGCAAGAAATATGCAGGCTTTACCTCTTAATTGCATACCAAGTATTATTAGCAACTGGTAGCACTTTTTGATGTGCTTGGGTATTGCCATAGTGGCTGGATGATATCGCAGATATTGAAGATAGGCATAAGCAATTCCGGCCTACCCAACATTTTCACTATTTAGCCAAAATGTGGGGAGTAAAATCCTATGCAACGTACAATATTGTTCTTCCAAGTGCGGCAATTTGAATATGAACGCGAAAGAGTTTTAGGCCGCGGTTCAACCAAGTCGGCCTAGAAACATCCATCAGGGTACATTAGCCAAAATGCAGCGTCCAATCTGTGACACTCTTTGGACTGTCACACCACGTTTTCTGATTATGATCTCACCGTACAGCTACACCAAACATTTAATACCAAAATGGTTCGTTTTATCACTGATCATAGATGATAGTCGTCGGGTTACAGATGTACCACCAAGGAACCGTCATCGTGTATGCATCCAAGTTAAACGGTGCGGTAACTGTCATACACCAATACACATTGTGCAAGCTCTCTTGTATCAATGTACAGTAAAAGTTCAATTTCTTCTGTAAGGACCCACTTCACATTCATTTCATACCGATTGCTATGATGGAGGTATCAAGGTTTTTTTTAAATAGCGAATCGATTATTATGCTGTTCAGCTGAGTTCAAGTGTTTATAATTTTTTTTTTGAATGCCATACATCTATGACGATTTTCGTCATACATAAGGGAAAAGCAGATATGCGCTATATTTAGTAACGCTTAGCATATTCATCACAACTTAATGTTTGGTAACTTCTGTTTACGCTGGTCATCCTCTCCATTCCTCTCAAATCATTGTACGGTCTCTCGCCCGATTTGCGGCCGATTCTCTTAACGTAGGTTGTGGCCATTCGCTGAAGAACTAACTAGCTTCGATTCGCCAGCTGCCATCATGGAGAGATTGTGCCTGTGCTTAATTGAGGGCGTCCTGGAACACCTAAAGCTCGCAGCATTGATCTGACGGCATGAGCCACTGGCAATCGTGGTGGTTTTCCAGTCAGACTTTGTGAGTAGAAGTTGCGACTATAGAAGGTGCGTACGAAGCACTCAACCAGACTGCCGTATGCGGTTCCGTGTACGATGTTAAAGCACGAGAAAGCAAAAACGCCCTTCCTGTGTGCGTTTTTGCTTTCTCATGAGTGCACGTGCGTTTTTTTCCATCTCTCTCTTTCTCTCGACCCTCTTTTTCTTGCCCCTATTTTCCCACCCCCAGTGCTGGGTAGCAGACCGGATGCCAATATCTGGTTAACCTCCCAGCCTTTCTCTCTCTCTCTTTCTCTCTCTTTCTCTCTTTCTATTCTGAAATATCGCGAGCGCGACCGAACAGAGGAAAGAAGAAGACGAAGATCAGCTGCGGCGTTCGCAATGAATATTATGTGAGTGCAAGGGTATGCTTTGATGTAAATATATTCCTCATCTCTCCCAACTGGTCTGGTTTATTCTTCAACAAGTGGTGCCGAAGACCCGTCGGGAGTTCTACACGCCATGCCTACCAGAAGACAGCATCTCGGAAAGCCGGCGGAGGACAATTCCGGTGACGGAGATGTCAGCGATGCAACGGAAAGCCAGGCTGGGACTCTGAGTTACGCCGGCTCATCAACAAAAGTGACAGCCATTCTACGAATGTGAAGGTGTGTGCGAACGATATCACAACCATGAGAGGGATCATCAATCGACTCAAAGAAACGTGCACGTCACGTCGATAAGTGGACATGCGCCTCATTATACCTGAGAGTGCTTTAGAAAACGACAACATCGCCACTATAGTCTATGTGTAAGCCATTCCATTCACTAAACCTCCTTGCATATATAACAGAGTGTTTCAAGAAATGTGTCCCCTATTATTTAAAAATTACAGAAGGGAGGTTTCTCCGTACTACTTCTGCCGTTACTGTTACTGTGACAGAATGTATCTGTCACAGAACGTTGATTGCAGCAGTAATTATAGAAATTAACACAATTAACTTTTCAACCAATTCTTATATATCAACTTCCCATCACGTCATTCCTGATTAGCCCAGATCATTGCTATGGCTTCCCTAATCAGCTAAAAATACCCCCTTTACAAGGCTACGACTCGGCGGATTATGGCAATGGCTGTAGAATAGCAACGCGAATGCTGAGTTAGACCACTTCAACACATTAATGAGGAAGTCATACATCAGCTAGAAAACCGCTCCATCTCTAAATTAATACAGTCATACTGGTTTAATATTAAGTATTGTGCAGTGGAGGTGATGCACAAGTAACGTCACTGCAAAAAGAAAACAAAAAAAGCAGTGCGTGATTGCGAGAGAGCCTATGGACAGGAGCGCCATACTCGCAAATCTGTGGAGCATGATTCGAGTTTGATAGCGTTTCATTACTAAGACCCGAGAAGCTGCCTCCCCCCGCCCCAACGTTTTAAAGACAGACAGACATACAGACAGACAGACATAGACAGACATGTATGTATGTATTGTATGTATGTATGTATGTATGTATGTATGTATGTATGTATGTATGTCTGTCTGTCTGTCTGTCTGTCTATGTCTGTCTATGTCTGTCTGTCTGTATGTCTGTCTGTCTTTAAAACGTTGGGGCGGGGGAGGCAGCTTCTCGGGTCTTAGTAATGAAACGCTATCAAACTCGAATCATGCTCCACAGATTTGCGAGTATGGCGCTCCTGTCCATAGGCTCTCTCGCAATCACGCACTGCTTTTTTTGTTTTCTTTTTGCAGTGACGTTACTTGTGCATCACCTCCACTGCACAATACTTAATATTAAACCAGTATGACTGTATTAATTTAGAGATGGAGCGGTTTTCTAGCTGATGTATGACTTCCTCATTAATGTGTTGAAGTGGTCTAACTCAGCATTCGCGTTGCTATTCTACAGCCATTGCCATAATCCGCCGAGTCGTAGCCTTGTAAAGGGGTATTTTAGCTGATTAGGGAAGCCATAGCAATGATCTGGGCTAATCAGGAATGACGTGATGGGAAGTTGATATAATTAAGAATTGGTTGAAAAGTTAATTGTGTTAATTTCTATAATTACTGCTGCAATCAACGTTCTGTGACAGATACATTCTGTCACAGTAACAGTAACGGCAGAAGTAGTACGGAGAAACCTCCCTTCTGTAATTTTTAAATAATAGGGGACACATTTCTTGAAACACTCTGTTATATATGCAAGGAGGTTTAGTGAATGGAATGGCTTACACATAGACTATCTCGCTAGTTGTGTGTACAAAGCACGAACATATACTGACTGTCCTTGGTGAGTCCCCACCCGCTGATGGTGCAGTTCTGTCCCACAAAGTCCTGGTCCTTCTCGGGCAGGCAGATGGGCATCAAATGCTTGTGCCACCCTTCAAAGTCCAGGGGAGTTTTCAGCTCTAGAAGAGCGTAGTCATTCTCCATCGTGTCTTTGTCCCACTGCGGGTGCTTGATGATCTGCGAATGTTTAAGAATAAACCAGACCACTTGAGAGGGATAAGGAATATATTACACTTAAGCACACTCTTGCACTGACATAATGTTCATGGGGAACACTGCAGCTCATCTTCGCCTTTTCTTCTGTCCACTCGTGCTCGCGAACTTTCAGAATAGAGAGAGAGAAGGAAAGTTGGGAGGTCAACCAGATATTGGCATTCGGTTCGCTACCCAGCACTGGGGGTGGGGAAATAGGGGCAAGAAAGAGGGGGTAGAGAGAGAGAGAGAAGAAAAAAAATGCACGTGCACTCATGAGAAAGCAAAAACGCACACAGAAAGGGCGTTCTGAATACAACCGTTCAGAAAGGCCGCTCAATCGCGAAAAGCGCAATAGCGCTTTCAGGGCCTTCTTATGTGAAGTTGCATCCTGTCGATATTGTAAAATTCTTTCCTCAGACAGAGGTTGATTATCTAATTCGATGAGTTCCTTGCGAAGGTGCAGTCGTTGTCTACTATACTCTAGGCAGTCACGAAGGATATGTCGGATGGTTCCGTCGAGGCTTTGCCGAGCAGACGAGACCCTTTTATGTAGGCTGTGGTTGGGCATTTCGTTTATCAATGCCTACGCTTTCCGCATTGGGATGGCCGACACCGCGGCCTGCGAAGAAACCATCCGACATATCCTTCGTGACTGCCTAGAGTATAGTAGACAACGACTGCACCTTCGCAAGGAACTCATCGAATTAGATAATCAACCTCTGTCTGAGGAAAGAATTTTACAATATCGACAGGATGCAACTTCACATAAGAAGGCCCTGAAAGCGCTATTGCGCTTTTCGCGATTGAGCGGCCTTTCTGAACGGTTGTATTCAGAACGCCCTTTCTGTGTGCGTTTTTGCTTTCTCATGAGTGCACGTGCATTTTTTTTCTTCTCTCTCTCTCTCTACCCCCTCTTTCTTGCCCCTATTTCCCCACCCCCAGTGCTGGGTAGCGAACCGAATGCCAATATCTGGTTGACCTCCCAACTTTCCTTTCTCTCTCTCTATTCTGAAAGTTCGCGAGCACGAGTGGACAGAAGAAAAGGCGAAGATGAGCTGCAGTGTTCCCCATGAACATTATGTCAGTGCAAGAGTGTGCTTAAGTGTAAATATATTCCTTATCCCTCTCAAGTGGTCTGGTTTATTCTTAAACATTCGCAGATCATCAAGCACCCGCAGTGGGACAAAGACACGATGGAGAATGACTACGCTCTTCTAGAGCTGAAAACTCCCCTGGACTTTGAAGGGTGGCACAAGCATTTGATGCCCATCTGCCTGCCCGAGAAGGACCAGGACTTTGTGGGACAGAACTGCACCATCAGCGGGTGGGGACTCACCAAGGACAGTCAGTATATGTTCGTGCTTTGTACACACAACTAGCGAGATAGTCTATGTGTAAGCCATTCCATTCACTAAACCTCCTTGCATATATAACAGAGTGTTTCAAGAAATGTGTCCCCTATTATTTAAAAATTACAGAAGGGAGGTTTCTCCGTACTACTTCTGCCGTTACTGTTACTGTGACAGAATGTATCTGTCACAGAACGTTGATTGCAGCAGTAATTATAGAAATTAACACAATTAACTTTTCAACCAATTCTTAATTATATCAACTTCCCATCACGTCATTCCTGATTAGCCCAGATCATTGCTATGGCTTCCCTAATCAGCTAAAAATACCCCCTTTACAAGGCTATGACTCGGTGGATTATGGCAATGGCTGTAGAATAGCAACGCGAATGCTGAGTTAGACCACTTCAACACATTAACGAAGAAGTCATACATCAGCTAGAAAACCGCTCCATCTCTAAATTAATACAGTCATACTGGTTTAATATTAAGTATTGTGCAGTGGAGGTGATGCACAAGTAACGTCACTGCAAAAAGAAAACAAAAAAAGCAGTGCGTGATTGCGAGAGAGCCTATGGACAGGAGCGCCATACTCGCAAATCTGTGGAGCATGATTCGAGTTTGATAGCGTTTCATTACTAAGACCCGAGAAGCTGCCTCCCCCCGCCCCAACGTTTTAAAGACAGACAGACATACAGACAGACAGACATAGACAGACATAGACAGACAGACAGACAGACAGACATACATACATACATACATACATACATACATACATACATACATACATACATACATACATACATACATACATACATACATACATACATACATACATACATACATACATACATACATACATACATACATACATACATACATACATACATACATACACATGTACATACACACATACATACATACATACATACATACACACATACATACATACATACATACATACATACATACATACATACATACATACATACATACATACATACATACATACATACATACATACATACATACATACATACATACATACATACATACATACATACATACATACAGACAGACAGACAGACAGACAGACAGACAGACAGAATTATTTACACTCGGACTCTCCCCGTGAATAGGATCGGAAGGAGGGAAGGTGCCGGCCAAATTGCAGAAGGTGGACGTGCCTGTGCTGAAGCATTCCACTTGCATTGAGTTCTACAAGGACTTTCATGATCTCGAGGTTAAGGAAGAGACCATGATCTGCGCTGGATACGAAGAAGGAGGCCGCTCCGCGTGCCAGGTACGATATTCGATTGTGTCCGCTATTTATTGTCTCTGGCCGAGTCCTATCAACTCCGCTATAAGACATTTTTCTTTTAGGCGAAGATATCACTGCCTTCCTCCATACTCCTTCAGCGGTGACAAATGCTGTTATGGCTGTCTTGCGCGAGGAGTTCAGCCTTGTATAATGGTTATTTAATGTTGCGCAATACCAGCACCAGATAGAGCCAATGACGTGAACGTGGTGAGGACCTTAGATCGTGTAGCGAAGTGACACAAAAGGCAATCGTGTTAACATCTGTAGTATAGAGTAGTAAAATGTCAAAATAGCACTATGTGAATCGCACAACGGGCCACTCGTTGAATTATTCCAACCCACCACAAAGATTTCAGCCATGATTCTTTATCTTCCTAAGCCACAGCAGCAAGTTTACATAATGTTTTGCAGGTAGCTGGTACTACAGTTCTCCACAGTCGCTTGAAGAAAAAAAAGGAAAGCGACGTAATCACACAGAAGCTGGAACATTTATAGGGTTGATTCTCGGTAACGTGTGTGAAGCCGTGCCCGCAGCACGCTGAGAATCTCGGAGGCCATGCAAGGTCTGTGATTTGGGTTTATTCCTTAGCCACGGAATGCGTGTCGTCTGCATAGGTGCTACTTAAAGTTCACACTTTAGGAGCACGGAAGCTTGGCCGAATTTTAGGGTCGAAGTTCCTTTAGTATAACCTTGTCCCTGGTCACGCGTAAGCGAGAGAAAAAGAGACGAGAAAGAAAATAAGGTGAAAGAAATGTATGACCACATGTCGTCTCATCTCTAAGAAGGCTTTACTTTGCCGCTACTCTCTGAAGTGCCGGTACTCTCAGATTGGCTGCTGCGCGCGCTTTGCGTGAGTGCGCGGAGAACGAGTGCCTCTCTCAGTCTCCTGGATAGTGGCCGTACGTGGCGGATCGTTGTTGGGGCATGCACAAAATAGAGCGGCGGGCGCGTTGAAGACGCTTGCGCTCGGCTTCCTTGGCTTGCGTCTCGTCGATGTTACCCGCGCGCCATCTGCATTCTTGAACGTGATCGGACGCATGTGTGCACGCACGGACTGACGGACGGATGGACGGACGTATGCTTTGCCCCACTCATCATCATTCACTCAGAGTATATGCTGTGATTTTTTTATATTACGGAGTACATATACGGCGCCGAAAACAGGGACAACACTGTTTTTGTCACCCGTCTCCGTTTTCGGCATTGTGCATTTATTCCGTAAATTTTTTCAAGAAAATTAGGCAGTAACTAGTAGTATAGCTTTGTCGACATTGCTATTTAATTGTAACTACATCTCGAAACCAAAGCATTGTATACGACACAATGAGTTGGAAGCTCAATTTCTAAGGGACCTTCGTGTGTCTAGTGGTGATGCACACTCATTGAATCATTTATTTCATTAACGTGAAGGCCTCATGCGTCTCATCAGTAAACAAATGTGGCGCCTGGTATCGACAGCAAAAAATGTAAGGAAATTAGGTCATCTGGTCACCTGACGTCACGAGCGGTGTCATGCGAGAAGACGTTTCGGATAACGTAATCACATGTCATAGTCACATGGGCCAACTTGCGCCGGTCCAAGAGGTAGGGCAATACCACTTAGAGTGCGGAAAGCTTCCGCGAGGAAGCAGGGTCCACGTAGTTTACAGGAGCAATGAGATCAAATTTACTCATGTCGAGATTTTCGCGCCAACAAGTAACTATCGACACCCCCCCCCCCTTTTGCAATTCGCGACCTAAAACGCATCCGAGGTACGAATGAATATCTGCAATATTATTCAATATATCCGCTATCGCACGTGGTTCAAAAAATGGGTCGAAAGCCCGCCAAATTGTAGTGCTGTCAGCTACCTCGCGGCCACGTCGAGGCCGCCGCACAGCTGATGCTGCTTTCACAAAAATGAGGACGTCACGTACACTGGCATTTCGTCTGCTAGGAGCGCACGTGCAGTCATTACAGCTGTGTCTGATGATGTAGACTAAAGTCCCTCCCCGCGTTTTCCGCCTGCTAGGATAAGTAGCTCCCACTCGTTCTTCCGCTCTCTCTTTAGCCCCAGCCTTGAGAAGGGACCTCGTACTGCCAGTGAAGCCCACCTCGTTCGTCAACACAGGATTTACTCTGTAGCAGCTCGACGCAAAGTGAAGCGAGCAAATGAGGCTGTTCTTCTTAGGCGTTCAGTCCCTCTGTCCATGGGCGCGTACGAAGTCAACCCACTGGCTGCGTTGAGGTTTGTGGCTTGGATGAAACGCCACACAATTTTTGCTTTTTCCGCGCCTCGACGTGCAGGTTCTCACTGCGCAGCGGTTCCCCGACATTCTGGCCCGTATTGTCAATCTGAATGATCATGTCAAATCAGTCGATGTGACACGATGAATCACACAGACGCTTCAACACAGCAAGGAGAGCCGCGAGAGCATGGATGGAGTCGGCTCCAAACACACTCAGATCGTCGACGTCATTGTTACTAGCGTATCGTCACTCAGGCTGGTATTTGTGGAATGTATCACACCGAACACGTAGCTCTATAAGTGTGGATGTCACAGGGCAGTCTATTTTCCGTTTTTCTCCTTAGCTTCTCTACGTTGTTTGACATCGAATCGAATTACCTTCCACGCGACGGATGCCATTCAAATTTCGCCAAGAAGACCTATGTACAATCAGCAATCGAATGATGGGCCCGTCTCGATCTTGGAATTTGATGTCAGTGCTCCTTTAACCTCCACATAGCTACGTGGACGTTACGTGGACGTTCTTCTATGAGGACGTTCTTCTACGTGAACATTCACGTAGCTTAATCAGTGTCTTACACTCTTAATCAAGTACTGGTAAAATGTTGGATACATCCAGCAAACCAGCGTCCAATTTCCTTGCTATGAGTGAGTGAACAATTTATTCACTTCCTGCAGGTTACCCGACTCGGTTCCCACCTTGGAGCTGGTTGAGAGACCATGTCTCTCAGCAGCTTCTTTGGCCTGCTAGATCGCCCAGTTTCCTGGCTATATCTAGCATTTTAATCGGACCTCATTGACAGTGTACGAGGGCATGGGGTTTCACCGCCACCCTCCTTAGCACACGTTGCTTACAATTTTCTGCTGATGTAATCACGAAAGGAATCGATATTCGGGGTGACTTTGATATCTCACTCTACCATCTGTGGCGGACGTTTTATGTCGTGGGGCGAGTGTTCTTGGCCGTGCGAGCAAGGATATTTACGTCAGAATTATACATGACCTATAAGGATGAAAGAAATCTGTACACAGTCGGCTCAAGCCGACTTTCCGCACGTAGAGTTGTGTTCTTCAAGGCTAGAACTGATCAAGTCAGTTTCATGCTCGTCGTATTCTCCCGCTTCTCATAGTCAGGAAGAAGAAAAAAGGAACGTGTCCTTCCAAAAAGTCCTCTGATTTCTTCTCATCATTTTCAATATTAAATATCCCCTTCATATGAACCGCCGCTTTCATGGCAATCCTCTGTAGTGAGTAGGAGCCATAAGTAGAAGAACAAGCAATCAAGCAAGCAAGCAAGCCCGCCTTTTGCCGATCCTGCGTAGGTGAAAATAATTCATGACCATCTGGATTGAACAAAAAACATTCATCTTCTAAACTGTAAAATAAACAAGGTGGTCGTCTTCGCTCTCTGTGCTTTGTTGTATATCAAGGTCGACATTGTATCTTTGAGATTACAGAGACAATTGAACATAATTTGGAGGAAATTGCACCATCTCTCACTAAAGCGAACCATTAGGGGATGTGAAGCAGTGCTTGGTGTTCCATGGTGTTTCCATTTGTTGTTTTCATTTTTGTTTCCGTGTATGTTAATTTGATTGTGGAGTTGTGTATATCTTGTGTACCGCTTATGTGACCCCCCTCCATTGTGTAAATTACTGTGTGGTTATTCATCACACTGCAAAGTGAACACCCAGCACTACTTCGCATCCTCACATGGTTCTCTTAGTGGAAGATGGTGTAATTATTATTTTATTATGAGAAATAAAGAGCGAGAGACGGTTGTACGTGTCGACGTCGGCGTGGTGAGCCGGTGGATTATCTCGCTGCAGTACTTTGTGTTGTTCGACGTTGGTCATCTTCCCTGAGCCTGTGGTACTCGTCCCTATTGGTACGATATCTTTACATCCACACATGGCCGCGCACGCACTCGCTTGTTTGATCAGTCACGCTAAGACCTCGATGTTTCTATTGCCCTTCTGCTTCGCGTTGCTCACAGCTTCGAGATTCGCTTGCCGGCGTTGTCATATACGTTCAGCTTCGCGAGCTCGGAGTTGTCGTTTACGTTCTGCGTCCCATGCCCTAGCTGTTCTGCTCCGCGCTGCTGCTTACGCTAATGATCTGACAGATTTCATTGCTGTCACAGCTTACGTTACCTGCCGCTACAACTGACGCCAACGTTTGCGTCCATAGCGTCATTGAGACGGAGCGTGCAACGGGTGTGGGCGCGCTCCACATTATATCTGAGTGCATAGCTGCGGTGGAGAGAGAGAAAGGGAAGAGGAGAAACAAAGCAGAGGCAGCACTGACGCCACCTGCGTCGTAAGAGAAAGACAGGGGGAGAGTTGGCCCATGCACAATGATGTAAGGATGTGTGAGAGAAGGACGAACATGACATCGAGCAAAAGCTGCTTCGCATCATAAAAAAAGTCAGCTAAGGCGAAACAGCGAACGCGATAGCAACCAATCGGAAGGTCACGTGCAGAATGGCAAGCAGATCGAAACGTGTCCCGTATTTCTCACGCATAAAAGACGCACAAAACGTACTCACAGGTGCAGATGAACACGAATAAGCGTCGCAGTTGTTACTTCGCTGTGCCTGAAAAGCGCGCCCTTTTCGCAAACTGACACTGGCTACGAGTGCAGTGACCATTAGGCGCCCGGTAACTACAACATAATCATTCTGGTGAAAGCCCCAAGCATACGATTGTCCCCACCGCGAGTTAGGCGAGCGTTTGCGAGTGCGTACCCTCTCCGCGGGGCAAAGTACGCGAGGGAGATGAGAGCGCTCGCCACCGCGTCGTGACAATCTGGCAACGCGCTCATTGCGCCATGTTGTTGGTAATGCGGGAAACGCTATAATAGTTCCCCCCGAGATGCCCGTAACCAGCGGTAAGTGGTAGATATAAATAGCTTGTCGTTTCAACGTTTAAGGAGGCGCTTTTCAGTGACTTAGGGGCTAACGCCTCGAACTTACGATTCATACGGTAGCGCGTTCGATTCCACGCGTACGAGTCCTTTCTTGAATTATTTTTTTAATTTCTTGTGTTTACATATACAGATACGTACTTGTACACATATACGGTGAGCGATGGTGACGCCGTCAGCAAAATCCAGCCGAGATTGTCCTATATAATTGCTATTGCAATACATTGTGTCGCGTAAACAAGGCATTTTGCGAGGACAGGCGTCTACAACTGGTGCATCGAAAGCTATGGGGGAGACTCTATGGCTGAGCGAAGGCCCTCTTAGGGTCGTCAACAAGTCACCGTTCAATCTGAGAGAGCTGTGGGAACTCAATATGCCTTGCTGTTCAGGTCTATACGCTCAGACGCGGCCCACTGCGTGAAAAACACGTTGCTGCTACTCCAGCACACACACAACAAATGCTTTCTTACTCGTGCAGGGTGACTCCGGGGGACCGCTGCAGTGTGCTCGAGCGGATGGTCGCTACGTGCTCGCCGGTGCCACTTCCTGGGGACTCAAGTGTGCCTGCCCCCAGAAAACCGGGCGTCTACGCGCGGATTGCCACGCGCGTTGACTGGATACGAAGCGTAGTCGGAGAGACGCCCTGATGCCTTCAATAAAGCTACCCTGACTTGCATTTGTTTTAATGAGATTGTGTATGTATGTGCACATGTGCTTGTCCTTGTGTGAGTCTGTGTGTGTGTGCGCGCAAACAAACACAGACTCACACAAAGACACGCAAATGTACGAGCACGCGCGCGTGCCTGTGTGTGTGTGTGTGTGTGTGTGTGTGTGTGTGTGTGTGTGTGTGTGTGTGTGTGTGTGTGTGTGTGTGTGTGTGTGTGTGTGTGTGTGTGTGTGTGTGTGTGTGTGTGTGTGTGTGTGTGTGTGTGTGTGTGTTGCCCAAAACAAATTACTTCCGAGTTTACGTTCATTTCCACTTCCGGTCAGCACCTAGAAGCATCGACAACTATTTTAATGGTACCTGTTTTCTTCGGTAAAACAACAAAAAAACTTACCGGCCATTGTGTATAATCATCCAGCATTAACATGGTAAATGTTGTGCTACACCTATTACAAGATTTTTTGATATGCTGCACCAAAGTACACACAACGCGCGCTACGTACAGTGAGGGTATAGTGCCTGGATATTCTAGGCACTATAGTGAGGGTGAGTGCCCCGCCGCGGTGGTCTAGTGGCTAAGGTACTCGGCTGCTGACCCGCAGGGCGCGGGTTCGAATCCCGGCTGCAGCGGCTGCATTTCCGATGGAGGCGGAAATGCTGTAGGCCCGTGTGGTCAGATTTGGGTGCACGTTAAAGAACCCCAGGTGGTCGAAATTTCCGGAGCCCTCCACTACGGCGTCTCTCATAATCATACGGTGGTTTTGGGACGTTAAACCCCACATATCAATCAATCAATAGTGATGGTGAGCATCATAGTGGTTCGTGTTGGTGCGCATGCCTGTAGGCAGTGCGCATGCGCGTCACCTCGACATGGCCACGACCACGAGAATAGCACCACTTCACTGCACCACCTGTGTGCCGGTACCAAAATTGCCGGCGGCGGCGAGTCAACGGCGCGGGGTCCATCGGATCGACGCGGCTCGGGGGTGAGGGTGAGGGAGGGGGGTTGGTGGGGATAGAAACTTGTACGTTGAATTTTGAAAAAAAAAATGTTTTCCCGAAAGGGTGAGTTAGTTGACATGATAGCATCATGTCTAAGGGTTATTTATTTATAAATACTGATGTTTCAGTTTTTGAGACATAGCAGGTGTAAATACAAATGTTCAGCACCTTGAAAAAAATTCATTTAAACAAAATAACTATTAGTGTTTTTTTTTCTTCAGATTACTCAACACCGAGTCTGGGAGGACCCATCACGCTCATTCCAAAAATGCACCTTCTGCAGAAAAGCAAAAAAAAAAACTAAAAAAGAAAACGAAAACAATTCTCGGTTGATCTAACGTGCACAATATTTAGAGGATCGAATCAACGTGCGCAGATAATAGGGCTGCTAGTACATCCGAAGCAATGTGAACTATCATGCAGAAAGATGACACCATCGAAAAAGCGACGATGTTCGAGGGAGCTGCCGCGATAAAACATGTGGATGCGAAGAAGGCGAGACACGCTGATTATAGCGATGAAATATAAGCAGTATTGCTTTTTTTAAGATATTATAACATAGTTATGCCATGTTTGTAGTGAGGCAATCAAAAAACCAACGTATATTCGAGTCTGACCAAAGCCTTATGCGCTGTCGGTCTGCCTTCTTTTGTTGAGTTGCTTAACGTTCGTCGGAGACCCCTAAGTTTTCGAATAGCTTGTTGAAGATTGTTTCGATGTGCGTGTGCCATTTTAAGTTTGATGTGGCAATTACACCAATGCACTTAAACTGCATTACTTCTACTAAACTTACACCATCGTTAGTATACGTAAAATGAGAAGGCTGTTTCTTATTAGAAAATGTCATGGCTACAGTTTTTTTGATGTTCGCTATGTTTCAGTCCTGCTACAAAACGACAAAACAACAACAACACTATTCAACGCATCCTGATCTTAAGTATTAGAGATGTTCGACAGGTAACGCGGTCATCTCCATATATTTCAAATTTATTTTTGAGTATAAACAATAATTTCTTATCAATCATTTAAATACATAATAATCAAAAAGTGCCGCCACATCCACGAAGTGAATGATGATGAGTGGGCGAAGCTCCGGAGGTAAACCTGGTAAACCATGAATCCTCCGTACATTTTGCCCACTCGATTTTATTGCAACGCTCCCCCTAGCGTACGACGCCGCACTATATCGAACGATGACACGCGCCATATGTGGCATCATTCCTATTTTATAACACCTCGCATCTTTCATAATCAACTACACGTACCGCCGTCTAGTTTATAACATCTTGCATCTTTTGGATAGATGGACGGACGGACGGACGGATGGATGGACGGACGGATGGATATGGCTGTACCCTTTAGATCGGGCGGTGGCTAGCGTAATACTTAATGCCGTCAGCTACAAGTACCGCCATCTAGTGAACACTGCAAGAACTGAACGAGAGGTGGCTACATACAGGGGACGCACAGCCCACGCCTTAAGGAGCTTCGCTCCTAAAACAGAACAACCACCTAGCCTGAGGCCCCTTCCTGATGTGATATGTATGTCAGAAGATTTTGCGTGGTTAATCGTAAGCAAGTTTGAGCGGGACTGCAAATAATCTGTTATCCAATAATCCAGCTTGTTGTAGCCAAAAATATTTGTAAAAAAATTGGCAGATCCCACGTACACTGGGAATCGATGATATGCGAAGCACGAATGAGAAAGGTTGATATGTCATTTTAGAATCAGCACAACATTACGAGGTGGAGGTAAATGATGCCGTACATGGCTTCCGTGTCATGGTTATCATGTTTGGATGTGTCGTTCACCTTCGTCATCTATTCACGTCACATGATACCAAATATAGGATATGTGAAGCTAGCGAAAAGACCACGAGCACGCTATGAGCGTGGTATGTTGTCATGTTCTTATATGACACGCGTGTCAGAATTATCACGTTTCCACCAGTCATATATTCGTCATCCATTGACGTCACTTAACACCAAATTTGGTGTATGTGGAGCTATCGAAACGGCGGCGAGCGCAACATGAAAGGCCCAATATGCTCCCATGTAGCGTTGCCACGCGCGCACGCTGGGCACACCGACGCTACGTTAGCAAAACGCGAGAATTCTAATAGTCTGACGCCTGGCACGACCGCCGCGACCAGCGTCTGTCGGCGTGGCCCGACGGGAACCGGTTCGAAATGCGACATGCTGCATTTGGCGCCGATGCGTTACCCAGACAACACCGCGTCGCCCTCTTTTCGTGACGGACGGACGCCGGACGCGCTGAAACGCGCATGCGTCAAAGCAACGCAGCGCAGCACGCGCCTGCGATCGTATGACAGGACTGGCACCTAGCGTCGCAACGCCGGCGAGCACGTGCACTGCGTCACGTCGAAGGGTATTGGTGCCTTGGACTGTGGCATGGACCCATGTTCTCACATTCATGTTTATCATGTTTGCACCAGTCACATACCTTCCTCATCCATTGGCGTCACGTAATACCAAGTTTGGCATATGCGAAGCGAGCGAAACGGCCGCGAGTGCATCATGAGCGCAGCATGTAGTCATGTTGTTACATGACACGCATCTCATGTTTATCATGTTTGCACCATTATCATATCTTCGTCATCCATTCACGTCCCGTAATACCAAATTTGGTATAAGTGAAGCTAGCGAAACGGCCGCCAGCGCATCGTTAGCGTGGCACGTAGTCATGTTGTTACATGACACGCATGTCCCGATTTTCACGTTAGGGTCTGTCGCTTGTGTTCGCCATGCAATCATGCCATACCTTACCAGTTTTGCAACATGCCGTGTGAACGAAACCACTGCGAGAGCTGCAGGATCATGAAATGTAAATCATGACATATATGACATTCATGTCATGATTTTCATGTTATTACTACTCAAATATGTTCTTCATACAATGATGTTATGCCATACCAAGTTTGGTATCGATACCATTATCGAAACGGCCAGGAGAGCTAAAAGCCGTAGGCGGCTAGATAGATGATACGCTCAAAGTCGCCGAAGTTCGCTAAGAAATGCTTCGCAAAAAAAAAAAAAAAAAAACGGGCACGCGCCGCAATTATGGCGACGGCGCGAACGGCGTGAGTGAAAATGGGCGGCGGCGTACAGCTCTACTGTGGACCCCTTTACACGCCTAAAGGTATAGACCCTTTCACTTTTTACAATAGAGACCCTTGATAACCGTGTTTAGAAAAAATGTTTACGATTTCGAGTACTTCGTACTCAACTATGGGAGAGCACAGAGCCGTCCCGATAAAAACAGCCAGGCCGGGCTGTGTGTTTAGAAGAAGTGGTTAACGATTTCGAGTACTTCGTACTCGACTATGGGAGAGCCTAACGCCGTCCCTTACATTCTCGAAGCCAGACCGGACTGCAGGCCGACTGAGCTGACTTCTGGTTAACTCCGCAGAAGTACATGAATAGAAGAGTGCTTCGAAAATGGTGGGCGAGAAGAGCTTTAAAAAATAGCCCGCTGATTTTCTACGCTTTTCTTACAACATTTGGCATAATATATTCAAATAAATGTTCTCTTGAGCTACATAAAAATTATAAGAGATTGCCTTGAACATTACGCACGTTCCTTTTATCTAAAAAACTAATAAGGGACTTTCACTACCCTTCAAAAAACGTGAAACGTCGTTTCAGTTTTGACGTTACGAGCTGTTAAAGGATGTGACCGGAAGTCTTTTTGGGCCACAACGCTTGCATTCTTGAAACCATCTACACGGAACTAGAATGGGAAAACTGAAGAATCTTCGAAATTCTTCTCTCAAGACGCCATTGTTTCGATAAACGAAAAATTTCCCGTATTTTTTTAGCAGTTGCTTTCATTTTTGTTTTTAATTGATTGTTACCACGTGGTTGATCGCGAGCGGGAGCTGTCACGTCACATTCACCGGGGAGCAGGATGCACATGTTGTCGTCGTCTTCTTCCTTTTAGCTGCGAAGCTCCTAAAAGCGGCACCCGTTCGTCCCTCGTAGTCGTAGTG